TCCGAACTGGCCAACATCTCTCGTGTTTTCTGGAGGGCAGGCAGTTGTTGAAGGGGTGACCCTTTTCTCTTTGCCTTGTCTGGTCTGACCATCTTCAGAGTCTGCTTGTATCCCAGCTCGGAGTTCACACTTTTCATAATGAGGTGGAGCCTAGAGTTGATCAACTCCAGAGATTTTTCAACCTCTTTGTGGCCACCATCTTTCGGCCTTAGGTGTGAGATGGTCCATCTTCCGGCTTTAGGTGTGGGATGGTCCCCAACCAAGAGCAGGGGCCAAGGTGACTTGTTAAGTGCTGTCGAGTCGGTTCTGACCCATAGTGACCCTGTATAGGGTTTCCAAGGAGCAGCTGGTGAGCTTGAACCACCAACCTTGCAGTTCAAATGACTTTGCAGTCTGATGCATTAGCCCACAGCGCCACACCAGGTCTCCCCAAGGTGACTAGGGAGGCAGAGAGGGCTTGTACGCCATTGTACTGGCGGCCTCCGCCAGGGTGGTGGTGGTGTTCAGTGCCATTGAGTTGGTTCTGACTCACAGAGACCCTGCATAGGGTTTCCAAGGAGCGGCTGGTGGGTTGGAACTGCCGACCTTATGATTTGCAGTCCAGTGCTTATCCTACAGCTGCGCAGCAGGTCCTCTCAGCCAGGGTAACAAAACAAAACAAACGAGTAAATAAATGAACGAGATGAAAACTGTGAGGGTAGAAGATCCAACTAATTGGCAAAAAAAAAAAAATCACTATGACAAGCAAACAAATTCAACAAAGTCTCAGGACCGTCGGACCAAAATACAAAATTCAATTGCTTTTTCCTTGTACTTTGTTGTTAAGTGGCGTCGAGTCATTTCCAACTTACAGCAACTCTGTATAAGGTTTTGAGGCTTTAAATCTTTGTGGGTGCAGAAAGCCTCATCTTTCTCCCTTGGAGCAGCTGGTGAGTTCCAATCTCCGACCTTGTGGTTAGCAGTCCAGTGCTTACCATATGGAGCCACCCAGATCCCACCAAGATCCCCTTTTCATGTACTAGAAACGATTAGATCTGAATTATGGACTGTTTGGTTTTAAAGTTTATGTTGTTGTTGTGTGCCGTCGAGTCGGTTCCGACCCATAGTGACCCTGAGCAGGGTTTCCGAGGTTGTAAATCTTTACGGGAGCAGAAAGCCTCATCTTTCTCCCGCGGATCAGCTGGTAGTTTCGAACTGCTGACCTTGTGGTTCGCAGCCCGATTCGTAACCACTACACTACCAGAGCTCCTTATATGTGAACCTAAAGAACTTAGAATAAACAAGATGAAGCAAAGAGAACGAATCTGAGGGCAGCTTTGTTGCTGCTTTTGGGTTGATTCCCACTCGTGGTGCCCGGTGTGTGCAGAGTGGAACTGCCCCACAGGGTTTTCAAGGCTGTGATCTTTGGAAGCAGATCGACAAGGCTGTCGTCTGAGGCAACTCTGGGTAGGTTTGAACCGCTAGCCTTCTGGACAGCAGCTAAGCGCTTAAGCATTTGTGCCACCCAGCAACTCGACAATAAAGCTACAATGAGTGAAACAGTGCAATAAAACAGATCACTGGACCATCCCAGGAAAAGAACCATCTGCACTCAATCAACTGATTTTAAAAATAAATGTTTATTGTGAATTATGTGATAGTTTACATGGGAGAACATTAGCTTTACATTCATCCTATCCTATATCGCTTCATTGCCATGGTTACAATCCCCTCCATGCATCAACCAACCAAAGGGGATACACTACAAGCCTGCCCCCCAGTCGTCAGCACACAGCCCCTCTCCCTCTCTGGATCTAAAGTTCCCAGCTTCTCCATCTCTACACGTCCATTGTCTCTGACTCCATCTCAGGCATCACTGCTTCTCTGGGTAGGGTCCCGCTCTCCGCTCTTCTCCCTTCATGGTCCCAGGGACCTCCACTCCTGGTCTGCAAAGTCAACCACTCCCCTCCTTGCTACAAAACATCTCCCTTTACATTTCCAGCCCTCACAATCAGTCCTGATAACAATTATTCACTACTGTATCACAAGAGTCCTATTCGCATTCCCTTTCATCAGCCCTGCCTAGACAGATTGGATACTACTCAGTGGAGACTATACCACCTTCCTCCACACCCTCTGGATTTAGATTCCTTCTTAAAAGCTTGTAAGCCAATCACTTCTTGCCTTTGTAGCGCCCCCCCTTTGGGTAGCCAATGTCCAAGTTGCCCATCCCTGTCTACTCTGTGTGGAGGGGGTGGGAATGATCCTTGCTGTAAAGATTTGTTCCCTCTTTTGAGCTACTGCATCCATAGGTGTAGGTCAAGTTCATCAAATTGTATCAGATTACTCTTTTTTTTCCTCTTCTTTCTTCTGGTTGAGCTCTGATCATCCAGTCATTGAAGCCAGGTCAAGTGGGTATTATCTGCAAGTGTGGGTGTTCTTGTACATATGCCCTCTCTTCTTATCAGCTGGACGCTTCACTCTCCACTCTAGTCCTCTGTGGCTATGTCACTGACTCTGGGCCCAAGAGTCCCCAGGTTTTGCCACACTGCTGGCCAACCAGGTCTCCACTCAGGTTCCCAGGAGTCTATTGAACGTTGTAGGGCTTAGCTCACAGCTTCATTGCTATTTTTCTCTCACTTCCCCTTATCGGTGATGAACATGGTCACTAATCAGAGCGTGTATTCCCATTGAGTCTTAGTCTTGGAAGGGGGTTTGCTCTGAGGGGACCCGACCACTTGCCTTGATGTCTCCTGGGCGAACAACATGCTTGTTCTTGTAATCAACTGATTTTTGACAAATGCACCACAGCAATTCCATGAACGGAGTCTTTTCAACACAACTGGATATTCCTATTACGTGCCCTGCCTCACACCATGAACATAAATTCATTAAAATTGACCAGAGACCTAAATGCAAAATCATAAGCCAAGACGCATCTAGAAGAAAACAATGGCACCTTAGAGAAGAGACAAAATACCCTAATCACCAAGCAAAAGAAGTCCAACCCCAATGAAGCCTGTTGCCATAGAATCCGTTCCACGCACCTTACTGGACAGGGTAGAACTGTCCCACGGGCTATCCAAGGCCCTAATCTTTACAGAGTCCTGGTGTGGCCCTGTAGGATAAGCACTGGGCCGCTAACCAAAAGGTAGGGGGTTCAAACCTAACAGCCACTCCTTGGAAACCCAATACAGGGTCATTATGAGTTGGGACCACTTGCCAGAACACAACAACAACATTTATGGAAGCAGACGGCCATAGCCACAGTGCCACAAGGGCTCAGTATAAAGCAAAACAAGTGGCTATAATCAGACGTCCTCAAAATGAAGCATAGCCGCTCATCAGAAGAGGGCTGGGCGTGAGACTCACAAGCACAGACTGAGAGAAGGTATTCATAGTGCAGATATGACAAGTAGGTGTTAGGAGAGGAGGGCTGCCCCTGTGCCCGGTAAGCGGAAGCCAAGCTAGGAGGGGACAGAGCTTCTGGGAGGGTTCACAGGGAGCCAAGCTGCGTGGTAAGATTCTTCCATACGAGAGTCTCCTTCTACACATGTGTTTTCATAAAGTAAGTTTACTAAGCAGAACACATCTCCATATGTGCTCACGTTTAGAACATCCCTCAAAGAGACAAACCGCAAGGCTAGAGAGGAGACTGCGGATAGGTTGAGTTGGGGTTGGGGAGCTAGGTCTGGGGGTGGGTGATAGCTACACTGGGTTCTCACTAGCGATGGTTAGACAAATCTGCTGTGGGTAGCGATCATGTCTTGCGACTCACACCGACCGGGGGGGTTTTTACCGGCTTGTTTTTTGGAAGTAAGTTGCGAGGTCTTTCTTCCTACACAAATCTACATGTGTGTTAAACTTCATAAAACCGTACACCAAAAATGATCTTTTTTTAAATTTAAAAGAACAAAGACAAGCCTACAGTTACCTCCACTGCCAGCTGTATGTCTAATCTTGTCCCTACCGGGCTGCACATAACTTGTACCTCTCATTTGCTCTCTGGCCTGAGTTTCCTCATCTGGGAAGGGTAAGGAGACTTTGCCTATTCCTTCATCCCTCTGAGTGAGCAAGAAAGGCCTTCACTTGGGCTGGACTGGGGCCTTCCACAGTGACCAGCTTAGGCTGAAGTCCAGGTCCCAGCCATGGCGCTGGATGTTCCCATCAGGGAGGGCAAAGTCTTATTCCTGGGCCAGATGGACAGGGCTGCACTGGAGGGAAGGGGATGAGACTTGGACTGTCCACCCCTCTGCCCTGTAGCTCATCTGCCCACACAGCCCCGCCCGAGCTGGCAGGGAAGCCGGGTCACCCAGACTCAGAGCCTCAGGAAGCAGAGGTGGGAGGGGGCACAGTGACTTGCTTGGCCTGAAGCCAGGGACAGGCTTCCCTTGGGGGCACTTCCTGACACTCCTGGCCACTGCCTGCAGGCCTGGACAGTGGCCAGGAACACACAGCTAGTTCCCAGGGTCAGGAAAGTCATTTAAAGCCCACACTTGCTGAGGTCAAAGTGTGAAGTCAATCTGCTTCTGAGAGGGGGGGCCCTCCTGAGCTGACAGCTGGTCTAGAGTGAGGGGAGCCAGGTCAGCAGGTCCCAGAATCAAGGCCCCCAAGCCTGGGCAGAGCCAATGAAAGGCAGCTTTGTTCCCTCGCTGCTCATCTAGTTCCTGCTTTGGGCCCCCCATTGGTTCCTCTTGGAGGACTCTGGGGTTGGGGGGGCTCCAGGACCAGCTTCAGGGCTACACCTGACACTTGACTCTAATCTCCCCCAATGCAAGGCCCCTCTAGCCCCTTAGAATGTGAAGGGCCTAGGGTGAGGTCCCCTCTATCCCCTATGTGGGGTAGGGCTCCTTCTAGCCTCCCTAGAATGTGAATTCTCCAGGGCAAGCTCCCCTTTATCCCACCAAGACTGAGCTCCTAGGGTAGTGTGGAGTGGGGAACCCCCATTAGTCTGGGACAAGTCTGGGCCTGGGTCTCTCCACCTGCCCTGTGGGCCCTGCAGCCCTGAGAATGGACCTCACCTGGACGTGGTACTGCGAGGTCTCGTGCATGATGACGTTGGAGTTGGAGTATTTCTTCCTTTGCTCTGAAGCAGGACACATGGCCATTCAGCACCACAGGGCAGCATCCCTGACCCCAGGCCGGGTGGCAGGGACTGGACCCCAAGGGGCACCCAGGGGCAAGGGGAGAGGTGCAGCCTCTGGATAAGATCCCAGGGTCTGAGGAAGGCCTCCCCCAGAGATGTGAGTGGGGGCCCATCTCTCTCCATCTTCGAGACAGTTCCTGGGGGGGGCACTGTCTATCCCAGAGGGGTGCAGGAGGTTCAGACCCCTCAATGGAGGCTGCCCCACCCCCACTCACACTCCTTAGGGGAGATGTCCAGGTCAGGGTTTCCCCCAAGCCCAACCCCTCCCTGGGGCTCCTCCACTTTCTCATCCCGCACAAATGAGGAGAGGGGACAGAGCAGGGGTGGAGTGGGAGGGTCACAGAGCTGGGGGGCAAATTTGACAACAGAAGAGGGAAGGAGCAATGGGGCAGAGCTACTACAGCGGGGAGGCATAAAGTTGGGGAACGGTCAGCTCTGGGCGCCCCAGACTTGTCCCCAGTCTTCCTTCCTCCACATGCCACATTTGTACGGAGAGCTGATGGTGCCCCCAGCACTGATGCCCAGACCTCGGGCCCTGATTCCGGGGCTCTGCGGCCTTCCTCTCCTACTGCCCAAGCTCTTTCCAGTGGTTCTCTCTGGGGGTGGGGGCGGGGAGGGGGCAGCACCCAGGCCCCTCCCTCGTGGAGCCGACACCTGGCAACTCAGTCCTGCCTGAACCCCACCCCCGCCCCAGTGATCAGGTTGCAGCAATGAGAAGCCCAACGAATCAATATTGATGCTCCCTGAATTATTAGTAAAGGCCTCTCCCCTTACCCAGTGTGGACGTGTGGGCGGGGGAGAGGGGGGAAGACAGGGGTCCAGGGCTGACCTGCCTTTCTTAGCCAGCACAGTGCAGGAACGGGGACTGGGCTAGCTACCGACACCCCTGACCCCTCCCTAACTGAGAATGCTCCCCATTTCTTCCCTGTCCAGTCCAGCCTGCAGGCAAACGTCACTCCGGGAGACTCACCAAACAGGTCCTTAGCACTCATCTTGGCTACTCCATCAGACCGGCCCAGGCTGCCACTGTGGGGAGGGGCTGGTGAGGGCAGGGCCACCTCTACACCCCCCCCACTGGGACTCCTCATGGGGAGGGGAGGAGATGGGGCAAGGGGCTCACTTGGTAGCACCCGGGCAGCAGCTCACGGACCCTGACTGGTTCATGGTGTCCTCCCGGGCGACCAGCTATGAGGGAAGGGCAGCCCTTGGTGTTGGGTGGTGAAGACAAGTCCCTGGCCCAGTGCCGAACCACACCTGGAGGACAGAGGAGAAGGCTGACACTTCCTCTCATCCATGACAGGGCTTGGTCTCCGCCCCACCCCTGGACTCCCCAGGAGTTCTGGACAGGGGTCCTCTTCCCCAGGGCTGTCAATTCACAAGGGGCCCCAACTGGCCATCTCTCAGACCCCTCCTTTCCCCAGACCCTGTTCTCCACAGGGACCCCAGGAATGAGCACCAAATGGGCCCCACTCCAGGACGAGCTGGGGCTGTGAGGAGAACCTGGAAGTGAGGGGAGAAGCCGGAGGGGGAGAAATAGCTTTCTAGCTATGGGAGGGATAGCACATCCAAAGGTTCTGGGGCCAGCAGGGCCCTAAGGGGAGAGCAAGGTGCCCTAAGGGCATATCCCAAGGCAATGTTCAAAGCAAGCCCGGGCTTCCAGCCCACCACCCCTTCCCCACGGCACCCTATAGCTCAGCAGACTCCAGCAAGCTTATTGACCCAAAACCCACCCATGCAAGCTCTTCTCATTCCTCAGCTGGTTCTTGAGCCTCAAAGAGCTGCACTGGGAAGGACCTGAGGTCATGTGGGTGGGGATTTGGGGATCCTGGGTAAACAGTAGGGGCCCTGGTGGCTCTGTGGGCTAAGAATTGGGCTGCTCCCTACAAGGTCAGTGGTTCAAACCCATCTGCTGCTCTGAGGAAGAAAGATGAGGCTGTCTGCCTCTGTAAAGATTTACAGCCTCAGAACCCTGCTGTTTGTGAATGGGACTGACTCTGTGATACAGGGTTTGGGGTGGGGTACTTCCCAGGGAGTGTGAAAGGGAGTGGGGGCAAAGCTGCCCCTAGTGGGTATGGTCAGGCTTGGCCCCGAGCAGTGACCTCAGCCATGGGGCTGTCTACAGGAGGAAACGGAGAGGGTGAGGTGGGACTTGAATGGCGTGCTCCCAAGACTGGGAGACTAGGAGTAGCCCCAAGGCAAGGCCATGTGGTGGACTGCCTTCCATGATACGATGGGGGCCAAGACAGGGTGGGAGTGATCTGGGGGGCAGCAACCACCGCCCTGGCCAGGGCCTCTCCAAGGGCAGAAGCCCAGAAATTTTCTTGGGTTTCCCCAGCTCCATGTTAGGGAAACTGAGGCCTGGTTGCTGGGGCAGACAGGTGTCTGATTTGTGTTGGGAACTGGGCTGGGGGTGAGCAGAGTCTGTGCCCCTTGGGGACCTGCAGTGCTGACCTGTCCCCACGTTCCTGTGGAGCAGTGTGGACAAGGGTTCCTGGTTGATCCTCTGTCTCTGTGACCCACCCCTCAGGGGTTTGGGGGAGGTAGGGCCTGAGATCTCCAAGCTTCACCTGAGCAGTGAAGCCCACCCTCTACAACAGCAGACTTTAGGTCCGTCTGGGGTGTTGGTATTGAGGGTGGGGAGGGACCAGGGGGCTCCCAGGCTTCTCTGGTTTGGCCAGTTGTCCCCTACAGAAGCGCTTCTAGGAGGTATGAGGACCCCGTTCTCGGTGTCATAGAGGGACTCGGCCACATTCCTTGGTCCATCTGTCCATGGAGAATGACTGGAATGTATGTGACCTCAGTGGGTGAGCCCGAGTGTTTGCTTAATCAGATTCCTGGCGGGCTCAGCCAGGGCGCCTGCACGTGTGTCCAGGTACACACATACCTGGGCAAAACATGAACATGTCAGTGCATCCCCAGGCCTGGGGCACACACAGGCACCATGGGCCCAGGTGCAGACAGGGGCCCCTCCCTTTGGGAACCCTGTGACCTTCAGCTTGAAGGTGGTGGGGGACTCAGACAGGCCGAGGGCGGACTGGGGGAGGGGCAGGTGCTGGCATCTGAAGGGGAACACCTGGGGGAAGGTTTGCCTGCGGGTCCAAGGAGTCTCTACTGCCTCCCAAGGGGGAGCTGGGTGGGGGCCCCAGGGCCCGCTTTGCACTTTGGTTTTACTGCTGCCGTTTTCCGGGTGAGAAGGGAGGGCCCCCACCTATGCTGTGTCGTGCATGGACACCAGGAAGGGCCAGCAGGGCAGGGAGGGCAAAGGGACCCGCTCCAAGTTCAAATTCCAGTCCTGAGTGCCAATTGACCTTGGGGAGGAGCGCGTGTCCGCAGTAGCTCCGAGACCCACGGGAGTGGGTGGGGGCCTGGGGAGACTCCGTCAGCCCGGTTGAGGGTGGATAAACCTGGGGAGCCAGGAGCGGCCTGGAGGGGGCGGGCGCAGCAGGTACACTCGAGGACTGGGCCCCAGTGAACGGGGGAGGGGAGGCGCGGGCCCCTGCCGCGTCCCCACCAGCCGCCCCGGCGCCCCGCACAGCCGAGTGGAAAGCGGCCCCCAGGAGTGGAAGCAGAGGTGGTCTGCCGACTGCCTCGCCCCCAGTCCAGAGACACCTCGTGCAGCAGGACAGTGCCAGCCCAGCCTTTCTGGCACAGAGAGGAATCTCGGGTGGCCGGCAGATCTCTGCTAGCCAGCCCACTCTGGGAAGGGCAGCCCCGCCTGAAACTGCGCCTTCCCACCCCCCCACCCCCCCGCGCAAACATTAACCGGGAGCCTGACCCCGCCAGGTGTTTCCCCGGCAGGCTTTCCTCCTGGCTCCCACACCCAGGAAGTATATCCCGACGTCCCACCTACGAGAGCAACCGCGGTATCATAACAGGGTGCGTCGAGGGAAGGCCAGACCCCCATGAGTGGGCAGAGAGCTATTTGGCTAGGCCGCGGGAGCGATCCCCCCGCCGCACACCACGCTCTTCTCTGGACGCAAGGGTCCCCCACCAAGCCCCAGGGCTGGGAGGGGGCCCGGACCCGGGCGGGTGACTCATTCACCACAGGCTTATAAATATCCCGGCGCGCGCTGAACCTTGTCCCCCTATCGGGTGCCCCTCGCGCCCACGTCGGGCCCCGTATCCGTCATCACCTGGGGAAACTGAGACCCACGTTCCGTGCGCACCTCCCTTCGTCCGCCCTTTCGCTAAAGCATCAGGAGAACCAAGGTTCTCCGGGTCCCCCGGGTCCCCGAGATTCGCGTCCCGATCAGAGCAGGCGCCTCACCTGCTCCCCAGCGGCCCCTGGTCCCGCGCTGTCCGGACCGGCTCTGGTCCGTCTATCAGTCAGCCGGTGCGTCCGCCCGTCTGTCCCGGCCTGGGCCTCAGCTCCAGGTCTCAGGCGAGCGGGTGGGACGCTCAGCGGGGACTGTTTGGGCGGGGCGGGGAGGGGAGAGGAGGAACCTGAGCGACAGGTTACAGTGTAACCAGAAAGCCTGGCGGGCGCTTGGGGGAGGCGGGGCCCGGGGCTCCGCCCTCCAGCTCCCCAACCTCTGCTCCAAACCCGCCCCTCAGGACTCCACCCGGTCCATCCCTCCTCCAAGTCCCAAACCCCACTCGCAGTCCTCTTCGCAGGCACGGGGTGGGGGGCTAAGGGGAGACATGCTCGGCCTTGGGCTCTTCTGTGGGCAGGGTGGGGAAGCCTGGAGGCCGCTGCCTGGTAGGCCTGGATAGGACCTCAGAGGATTCCTGCTCATCGGTGTCCTCCAAACTCAGGGGCTTCATTAGATAGCAGTCCTTCCCCTTTGGTGGACCCATCTAGGTCACTCAAGGTCGAGGTTCCTTCTGTGAATGCGTCTCCAGTACTGGGGTGGGCAGAGGTCCCAGGGGGTGGCCCCCCCTCTATCCAGGAACCTAAAGCCTCCTCTTTATTTGCTCTGCTTCTAGTCTACCTTGGGCACCCCCTGATGACCAGGGTGTAGGACAGGGACACCTAAGGCCCAGACAGTCTTTGAGCCCAGGGCAGGAAGCAGGTGGAGAGAAGAGTCTGGGTCCTGAATGGGATAGCTGTCCCTTGGAAATATTCCTTCCTTGGGCTCAGACCCCAAACTCCAACTTGGATTTGCAGACTGGCAGTGGGGGGGGGGAAGGGTTTGGGGTGGCGGCGATGGGACCGTCTAATTCTATTCTTTTCGCTCTTAACAGCTCTCATCAGCCCATAGCTCTTAGGCTGGGGGGCCCTGCCCACCCCGGCCGCTATGACTGCTCAGAACTGGTACCCTCCTAGATATTGTTAGTGGGTGAGGAAGAGGGGAGAAGGGACGGTGGGCTTTGCCAGGCACACAAGGACCCAAAAGCCCCTGGGGGAGCAGAGGAACAGAAAAGGCCACTAAATATAAGAGGGCTTGCAAGATGGCTGAGGCAGTTGGCACTTGGGCCTGGGGAAAGCCAGTTCACCGGGTCTGTCCTTTTAAGCACTGCAGTTCCTTGGCCTCATCCTGGGACATCACCGTGAACTTGACCAGTAGAAGCAGGCCTTGTCCTTCTAGCCCAGTGCCACCAGAGCACCTATCTGGTACCTGTTTTGGAGTTTGGGAATGGGGGTGGGGGCATGTGCATCTGGGCAGCCAGTGAGAGAACACGTGCTAAGGCAGGCTGGGTGTTCTACTCCGGACACCCACTCTGGTGGTGGTCCTTTTTGTCACCAGCACTGTCCTGTTTGGGGGCTGGTGAGCTTTGACCGCTAACTGGCTGTGTCCCTGGAGCCCAGGTTGGCACGTGTATGGACGGTGGGGCAAGTGGCAGGTGGTCTGCAGGAAGGGACAGCATCTCACCCACCTATAATGGGGCAGGTACACTGCTAAGTCAGCACAAGAGTATCACGGAAAGCAATGTTCACCACAGGTGGGCACAGGTCCCAGATGCACCCCAGATTGTGGGTGGTGGAGAGACCGCCATGCTGCTTGAGAGACCAGGCCTTGGGGGACACAGTACGGGAGGCCTGGCACCACAGCCCCCTGGGAAGTGCTGCTCCAGGGGGGAGCTTACTTAGGAGCCACATGGGAGCCATGCACATTGCTTTAAAAAAAATACACGGTGGGAAAAAACACACTGAAGAGAAAAAAGTCAGATATCCAAACATGACATTATTGCAAACAGAAAACTCACAATAGAAACGAAGGGCGTAGAAACTAGAAAGGGCCAACTTGGTACTTCGTAAGTGTCTGCAGTAAATTTGTGAATGGAAAACTCAAGAGATAGGGCTTGTCCAGAACTAAGAGTGAAGCTTACTGACACTGTCCAGTCCCATCAGAAATCCTGGCAGGGCATCCCACATCTCTCCCTCAGGAAAGCTGTGCTCATGGGAACTGCCCCCATTGTCTCCACCTCCTCACTGAGGACCGGCCCTAACAGAACTTCCAGTGGAAGGAGAACCATGAGGCGGTGTTCAGAATGGAGTGGCTTTTCGGGTTTTTTTCTTTTGGAAGGATGTGCGCCGGACGTCCATGGTTCTTAGCGAGCCACGTTCAGTGCCCCCCTGGAAGAAGGGGCAGTAGCTTCTCCAGGTGGGGCTGCTGGCTCACCTTGGGGCCTAGCAGCTCCAAGTAAGTAGGTAAGCAGGGGCTCCAACAAGCTGGAACTGGAGACCAGGGCCAGCATGGAGCCTGCAGTGAGTAATACTGAGACGGGAAAGTGTGTCTGTTCTGGCAGCCAGACAGCTTGAGGAGGGTTCCTCTAGGAAGTGCCTGCCCACCCAGGGAAGGCATCATGGCCTGTGCCTCCTTCCTGTGGACCCCTCATCCTCACACTGAGCAGCCCCTCAGTCAGCTTCAGGGCAGGAGCCATCACAGCCACTGCCCAGTGGGGTGTCCATCACTGGAAAATCCCGACCCTCCCCTGCTGACCACCCTTTTGCCCACCATGTAAACCACCCAGCCCTGTGAGAACAGGGCAGGCCCAATGGAGAGGAGACTGCCATCTAGCTAACGAAGGTGGTGATGGTGACCATCTGCAGGACGGCCTCGAGGCCGTGCAGAGCCAGGCGTGTGGAGCCCAGGACTGCGTCCACCCACAGCACCAGGGTCTGCCAGTGCAGGAAGTAGGTGGAGAGGAGGGCAGTGCCCACTGTAAGCAGCAGGCTCACGGCCAGTGGCCCCTCAGCCTCCGTCAGGTTGCCTTTAGTGCCTGGGAAACAAAGAGGAGGGGTAAGTGTGTGTGGCGGGGCGGAGCTGGACAACCGCCAGGACATAGCCCCAGGGCGAAGGCAGATTCCCATCAGTCGTGTTATTTTTCAGGACAGGTACAACCATAACACCCATTTCACAGAAGAGGAAACTAAGGCTCCAGGGAGGGGCCACACAAGGTGGGCCCAGGACCAGAGACTTTGAGTGGGAGACCCTGTTGACTGAGACCACCAGCTGCGACTCCCAAGAGTGAGAGAGACCACCTGGGGCAGGCCAGAGCTTGCTCCCCTTGGGAGGGAGATGCCTGTGGTTGTAACAGTCTCTGTCCTGGGCTAGGGTGTGGTAGGACAGCCTGCTGGCTTCATTCTCCTAGTTTGCTGAGGACTGGAGGGATCCAGGCTAAGGCGGGGAGGTGCTGAAGCCCCAGTGGACGCCAGGGGCAGCTTGAAGCTGGGGGAAGAGGCAGGCTCCAAGCTGCCCTGAGTCGGGCTCTGCAGGCCTCCTTGATCTCATCCCAGTTCCCAGTGCTCTGGGCTGGGGCTGCTGCTGGGGGCTCCTGTGATTGCAGTCTCATGTCCACCGAGGTGGGCCACAGGCTAACTCCCCTGTGCCTGTTTCCACCAGGTATTAGGGGGAGTGAGGAAGTGCGTGCACCCCTTGAAGTGGTCACTCGTGTTGTAACTATCACCTTTCCCAAGGTGGGGGGCATTTCTAAGACACATCCAAGCAGACATCGGGCAGAGTTTGACAGGTTCCCAAGACTGGGGCAGGGGGGCATGTGCATGCTGTGTGGAGGCTGGGAGGTGGGCTGACCCCAGTCCCATCTCCACAGCACCAGGTGCCCCTAATTCCTTGTGAGGGTGAAAAAAAGGGGAGTCAGTCCACAGAGGGCCCTTGAGGTCATGCCATCAGGGACAGTCTCCCAGACTGCCCAGGGGCAGTAGGACAAGTGTCTTAGGACTCAAGATGTGTCTTTTACAGGAGCCCTCTGCGTCCTGTCAGTGCCCCTGTGCGGTCTAGGGCTTCTCCATGCACTCACCGAGGTACAGCGCCAGGGCCTCCAACATCCCCATCGTCAGCAGCAGAACCAGATCGAGGACCAGGTGAGGCTGTGGATAGCTGAACACCTGACCTGGAGCAGGACACACAGATGGGGACGCTGGCTCCCACGCAGCAGCCCTGTACCCAGCGGTTCCCAGACTTACTTTTGTGAAGCAGAAGCAGCAATGTGGTCAGGAAGTAGAAGGCGCCATAGGCCCCGTTCAGGCCGAAGAGCATCTGAAGGGGGACTGAAGACAGCTGCGGGTGGTCAAGGATGCTCAGGCCCCCCAGACAGGCCCGTCCAGCCCACCTGCGCTCCCACTGGCTGCTCCTCTCACACAGGAAAGGTGACTATTCTAACCAGAATGGCCTGCCCAGCTCAGCTGGTAGACCTTCCCCCTCCAGACTTCCCTCAACCCTGTACCCTTAAACCGGTGCTAGAACCTGTCTCCAGTCCCTCACAAAACATGGGCTTTCATCTTCCTGTACTGGACCGGGGGTGGAGGGGGTGGGGGTGGGGGGACGGGACAGGACGGGACTCAGGAATCCGCGCAGGCCAGCGTCCCTGAGGGGCTGTACTGACTCTTAACCTGTGATGGAACCCCTCCCCCACAGACACCATCCGATTCTCAGAACCATGGAAATTGGGGGCCAGCAGAAGGATACCACAGTGGAGGAGCGCCCTGAAAGTGAGAGAGTTTTGGTCAGTGAGGCCAACGAGTGCTCAGGGACTCAGTGCTGCCACCCACAGGAAGGTCGGCTCTCCATTCACCTGTCCCAGGTGGGAACATTCCTACTCTGACATCCCAGCAGGCTGAGTGTACACAGGGGGTCCTGGGAGGGTCCCCTGACCCGCTATCAGCTCTCTCTCTCTCTCTCTCTCTCTCACACACACACACACACACACAAGCTGAGAGCCTTTTATAATGGGTGTTTGTACAAAACATTTTCTTTCATGTGCTTTCCTATGGAATTTTCTATTCATGAATCCAGATGTCCTTCTAAAAATAAGAGTTCCCTAAAACAGCAATTAGTTTTTTAATCTCACAATCTCTCGAGCCCTAACGTCTGCCTCCTCTTGGGGTGACTGATGCCTGAGTAGAGCCTCCCTCCCATGGATGGTTTTGATGCTCAGGTTTTACATTGGAAGGTACTGTAATCATCCTAGGAGTCCTGGTGTGGTGCTGTAGGATAAGCACTTAACTGCTAACCACAAGGTTGACGGTTCAAACTCACTAGCCACTTCTCAGAAACCCTATACAAGATTGCTTTGAGCCGGAACCCACTCAATGACTCTTAACAATGACAACTAATCGTCAAACTTCCCCTCTCTAAAGAGGCTCTCGCTGGCTGGCATCTGTGATGTGTGTACACTTCCTTCAGGGTACAAAGAGAAACACAAATCTGGAATTTGGCAAAAAACGGAGGCTTGAGCTGAAATGGGTCCAATCTTGTCCATCTCTCCATTCCATGTCCCCACAGTCCCAAGGAGGGTTGGAGACATTCCCAGTCTCAGTGTCTTTGAGGAACGTAATAAGGGAGACCCCACCCCTTCTCAGACCCACTCAGGCATTTACAACATGGACTTGGAACTGGGTTTCTGGGAACAGCGGCAATTGCCGAGAGAAGGAAGTCTGGTGAGGGGAACATGGTTCAGATCACTCATGAATGTGTCATGTTACAGGCTGGGCCTGCTGAAAACCTGATCTGTTCTTTTCCGGCCCCCAGCTGAACTCGGCTAGCTAGATACCTGTCATTATCTTGGTCGATTTCACTGTAATTGGGGTTTTCCTTCCTGCTGATCCTTTCCTCCAAAGTCAGCTTCAGAAGCTGTCTGATGCAGATTTTAAGTTCTCAGGGAAAACAAAGAGGTATAAACTTCAAGTGATGCCAGACTTAAATAATTCACAGAAAGGCTAGCCACAATCAGATAAAACTAACAACTCCAGAACTTCGGGAGCTCATTCTAAGTCAAGTCTCCACGTGGAGGATTTAACTTTTTTTTTTTGGTCAATGATTTACTGTTATAACAATGGGGCTGTGAACAGGTGTGTTGGAACAGAAATCAAATGTGGATTAAAAAGAACCAAAGTTTATGTTGGCAATAATCTATAAGATGTGTGAAGAGATTCATCGGCATTTTTTAAAAACAAATAACCCTAATTACTAATTACTAACCCTTCGTGTCTGGGGACCACCGTATCAGAGAGCGCAGACATCATAGAACCACTTCTTTTGCTCTGTCTTTCTCCTCAACCTCTTCACACCGCGGGCTTTCAGCGGATGTTGCGCTTTTATTTGAGTGACGCAGCAGCCACTCCACTCGGGCGATTTCTGATTTACGGGAACATGGGGACTTCCGATAACAGAGCAGGGTGCAGGGGGTGTGCTACACTACGGTGGGCCTGGCAGCCAGGAGGATGCGGTTTACAGTGCGAATGCAGCACCGTTCCATCTGTCCCACAAACACGGAGAACTGCACAAACGCACACGTGGCCTGTGAGCTGCGTTCAGAGCAGGCTGTGTGCCGTGTGCCCTTAACACTGGCTCCCCAGACACGAAGCTTCTGGTGACCACTTTCTGGGCAGCAGAGCTGCAAGCGCTCAAAACCCCTCCAATGTGACGTCATGGCGCAAAAGCAGCACTCTTTCACTTTGGGGAGAAGGAAAAATAGAAAAGATGACCCCTGCTCAGGACAATGGGCAGACAGGGTCAGCAAGACCAAGCTCACAGCAACCCTGACTTCTTGTTGGTCAGTGCGGACTCAAGAGAGCCATGCCACGCCAGGGCTCCCTATGTTGTTAAGTGCCGTCCAGTCGGTTCCGACCCATAGCAACCCTGTACAGGGTTTCCTACGAGCAGCTGGTGAGCTCGAACCACCGACCTTGCAGTTCAAACGGCTTTGCGGTCTGATGCATTAGCCCACAGCGCCACACCAGGACTCCCTATAGGGCTCACGATTTCCCAAGGCTGAAGAGCGGCGGGTGGATTCGAACTGCTGTCTTTTCAGTTAACAGCCTAACAAGCCACCCACTCTACGTCCAGGTCCCCGGAACACAGAGGACCCAACAATCCCATTTCCCACGAACTTTCTGGCGCGCCCTCGTATACCCAAAAGAAAGGAAAACGTGTGCACATCCGCAGATGGGCACTCATGAGCAAATCGCGCCGCATACTCGGGAGTTTCAAACATTTCTGGGGAAATGGAATGAAAAGATGGCGGGATTTTTCGGAGACTTTGTGAGGCCCACTGCCCAGCACACAATGGAGCCTCGTTCGGTAATATGAAGGAATGCATGAAGCTCTTGTGCTGCAGCGAGAACAGAGGGCAGGAGCCGGGCATCACGGGCCAGGGTCGTAGGCAGTGGCTCTGAGGGGCTCGGGGCTCGGGGCTCGGGTTGGGGGGTGAAAACGATGCGGATTTGGAGAGTGGTGTTTGCACAGCGCTGTGAAGACACCAGACAAGAGGAACAGAACTGCACCAGGTTGGCTTCCGGTCTGAACACCGGGACAAGTCCGTACCACCCTCGGGGACTCACTTCCCGGGCCAGCCCGCGCCGCCCAAGTCCCCACCAGCCCTCCCGCCTGGGGGCCTCCACGCCGCCAGCACCGACGATCGGTGGTGGTGGGGCACAGCCAGGGAGGCCGAGCCATCTCGAGGGCTACGCGGCCAACACTGAGCCGCCGGTCTGCGCCGCCAAACCTGCTCACCTCGCCTCGCGGCCGCCATCTTACCCCAACCCCCGCCCACCAACTCCGCCGCAATCCCAGCAGCCTCTTGGTCTCGTTGGAGTCGTTCGCGGCTCTTCGGCCATTTTCGTTTCTGCTCCCGAAGGGGCCCGACCGAGCCGCGTTACAAGAGTTGATAGCCGAACCGGAGCCGAGGCTCGAGAAGTTCGTTCGGCAGCGTTCGGGCACTTTCGGATAGGAGGAGGCGGAGAGCCGAGGCACGGGAGGATTCGGGCTCGGGAACGTTCGGCTAAGGTCGGCTCGGCTTCGGGTGGGCTCGGGCCCTGCTTGTAGCGGGGGAAGCACGAAACCTTCGGCACAGACTGATCTTTGCGAGGACGAGCTGTATTGGAGGTCGGCGAGCAACTGCGCTTGACCCGGTCGACCCTGTCTGCCTGGGGAGGTAACCTCCCCAAGCTTCTTAGGCCCTGAGGAGAACCCGCGAAGAGCTGCTCGGGAACTCTCGTGAGCTTTCGGATGAACTCGGACTGACTCGGCTCCATGTTTCGGGGAGCTTCGGCTCTCCTCGATTCCGGAGACTTGGCCGTCCGCTTAACTGGGCCGCTTCGTGCCGGTTCGGCAGTTGTTCGGGTGGCCTCGACTCGACTCGGTGTTTTCGTGTCGATTCGGCCCTTGTTCAAGCTGGGCACTTCGGACGGCCTCGTCTAGACTCGGCCGGTGTCTTCGGGCCTACTCGGCCTGACTCGGCAGACAGCTTCGGGGGCCTAGGCGCGACTCGACGAGTGTCCTCGGGCGGTCTCGGCTCTGCTCGGTAGCGGCCTGGGGCCGCTTCGGCCCAGCTCGGCGGACTGCTTCGGGAGGCCCCGTTTCGGGCTCCGTGCGGCTTTCGGGCGGCCTCGGGCGCGGCTCGGCGGGCGCCTTCGGACGGGCTCGGCGGAGTCCGGATGGAGGACTCGGACTCGGCAGCGAAGCAGCTGGGCCTGGCCGAGGCAGCTGCGGTGGCGGCCGCGGCCGCTGTGGCAGCGGCGGCCGCGGCCGCGGCAGGAGGCGAGACGGAGGAGCCGGTGCTCAGCAGGGACGAGGACTCGGAGGAGGATGGAGACTCGGAGGCGGAGCGCGAGACGCGGCGCGTGACGGCTGTGGCGGTGATGGCGGCCGAGCCCGGGCACATGGACATAGGCGCTGAGGCCCTGCCGGGTCCCGACGAGGCCGCCGCTGCCGCTGCCTTCGCAGGCAAGTGTCCATGCGTCCGTCTGCGCGTCCGCTTCCCGCCTGACCGGCCCCGCCCCCTCGTGCCTGCACAGGTGACACACGTGCCTCGAGTGACTGGTCCCACCTGGACACGAATCCTGCACGCCTGTCCTCCTTCCTGCTTGCACGCCTCTGGTGACCAGTCCTGCCCCTCTGTTGCCCGCCTGGCACCTCTGCACTCCTTCCCCCGGGGTCCCAGCCCAGCTCTGGCCCCTCTGCAGCCCAGGCTCCTGCACTCGCTCGGGGTCCCCTCCTCGGCATCCGGTGGGTGCTGATGAAGGGTCATTCGGGTGGGACCGTGCGTTTGGGTGTGCGTGCGTGCGTGCGTCCCGGGGCCAGCTCTTACCCTGTGCTGCCCCCCGACGTGCTGTCCTCACTGGGGGCAGATGGAGAGCGGACAGCGGCCCTCGGTCCTCCTGCAGCTGGGGCTATGTCCACGTCCACGCTGCCTCTGGTCTGTGCGGGGCTCTCCCCGAGCCCTGATCCCGTAAGCCCTGGGTAAGGGACTGAGGGCATGGCTGTGTGAGTCCTCCTCACCTGGGATCCACCCTGCCGGCTCTCCCCAGTCTGCACCCTCCGTGGTCCCCTGATGCCTTCTGTCTGCAGCCTGATGCTGACTTGGGCACTGGGTGAACTAGTTTCCGGCCCTGGAGCCGACAGGTGGGCCGTTTCAGGGCAGTTTGGTGAGTGCCAGGCTAATGACCTGTGCAGGACTCATTCATCAGCGTGTGGTCAGCACCTAGCCGGTGCCCGGGACCTTCTCAGCTCACATGTCTGTGGGCTCAGGGAAAGGTTTCCCAAAGGGAGCGGAGCCCAGTGTGGAAGCATCAGGCTCAGGCAGTGCAGGGCAGCAAACCCTGGTGGACTGGGCATTGTGTAGTCCTAGGCCCGTGGGACTAGTTTCCTGGCTCCTTTCACACACTGAGTTGTCTGTGTTCTGTTGCAGAGGTGACCACGGTGACTGTGGCCAACATGGGTGCTTCTGCCGACAACGTCTTCACTACATCAGTGGCCAACGCAGCATCCATCTCAGGACACGTGCTGGTAAGATGCACCAAGGCCTTACCCTTGGGGTGGTGGCTCCCAGATCCTTGGAGCAACACTGTGTGGCTGGGCTGGAGGGAGAGGTCTGCCAGGGTGGAGCCGTGTGTGGAGGCTCACAGAGGTTCGAATTTAGCTGAGATCTCTTCATTGCTCGGTTTCCATGGTGAGGGACTGCGTCTGTGACAGACATGTGGAAGGGGCCTCTGAGCCCTGCGGCTGGGACGTTGCTGGCTTCCAGTTGGGTCAGCCATGGTCTGGCTCTGCCTTCACTCCTGTTGGTAGTGCACCAGCTCTGGAAGAGACTGGCACGGTCGGGTACTTCTAGGGGAGGCTGTCTGTCTACAAGCCCAGAAACTCCAAGGGTGACTGATAGGTTGACCTAGCAGTGCTCAATTGGCTTGTTGCAGATCTCAGAAGGGGTTGGTTTAAGCCTTGATCCTCCTCTTAAGGCCTCGTTAACACAACAAAGAAAACCCTGCCCCATAGGGTGGTACATCCTCAGGTAGAAGGGTTAGGATTCTTTGAAAAGTACTATTCGAAAATTAATATTGGGAGGAACACAATTGACTCCCTGACAGCCTTGGTGTGTGTGTGTGTGTTAATCATTCAACTCCACAATTGGCTCTGCTCACGTGTCCCCGCTGCCAAGTGTTTCATTGTATACACCCCTGTAGCCACACCACAGGTGGGGCAGGGCAGACTCAGGAAACTCCCATTTGCTCTGACCCCTTTTTAACTGTGTTGGCGCAGAAGAGTTTTGCGTGTGGTAGGGATTCCGTAAGTGGAACCATGCGGGATGTGCTGTGTGCTGTGTGGCCTCTTGCACTCATGACCAACAGCGTCTGTGAGTGTGTCAGCCGTGCTTTCATGATTCAGTTGTATTCGGATGAAGGCCATGTACAGTTAGTTTAGCTAATCTCTTGTTGGACATTTCAGTTACTTCCGAGTTTTGAGGATTGCGTAGAGACATGTTTCCATTTATGTAGGGTTCATGCCTAGGAAGAGTACATTGGGTGGGTCACAGTGCATGTCTTCTTACCTGATAGGAGATACCCAAGAACTCTTCAATGATGACAAGTGTCCGATGCTCCTAACCCTAGCCAAAACCCATTCTGAGTCAGTTCCGACTCATAACGACTCTACAGGGCTTCCGAGGAGTGGCTGGTGGGTTTGTAGTTAGCGGTCCAGTGCCTATCTATGATAAATGAACACAAACCTCTACATGTAATCTTAAGCCATTTCGGCTACTGGCGCTGCGTGTGCCGTTAGACTGCGGCTGGCTCATAGAGACCCTGTAGAGGGTTTCCGGGGCTGTGGCTCTTTCTGGGAACAGAAAGCCTCGTCTTTCTCCTGCAGAGTGGAGGGTGGATTCTAACTGTTGGCTCTGTGGTTAGCAGCCCAAGTGTAGCCCACCAGGGCTCTTAGCCGCTCTCCTGGATATGAAATCATATCTCACTGTGGTTTTCATTTTCAATTCCCTGTGGCTAATGATGTCAAGCATCTTCTCCTGTGCTTAGCGGCCAGTCAGATAGCTTCTTGTTAAAGTGCCTGCTGTGAAGCTGTTTGCCCGTATTAAAAACCGGGTCATCTTGTTATTGTGAAAGATGTACTTTGGAGTCCCGGTGTGGTGCTGTAGGATAAGCGCTGGACTGCTAACAAAAAGGTCGGCAGTTCAGGCCCACCAGCCACTACTTGGAAATCCTATCCAGGCTCTCTATGAGTCGGCACTGACTCGATGGCACTAAACTACAACACGGTTTATGTACTTTGGACCCACATGAAGTGACCTTTGAAAGTCTAAGAAGAGGCTGTCTTTGCACTCTTCCTTAGCTGGTTGTATGTCGAGGTCCTATGTTGGGGTCCCGCCTCGACAAGGAAGTGTGGGTGTCAAGAAGAAGGGAGATCTGGTGGCGAAAGTGATAGAAAAAGAGAGAGACGAAATATATACAAAAAAGACAGACACACAGATGCAAGCTGGCAGGTAGACAGATCTGCAAACATTTTGCCCAGCATTGGCCAGCATTGCCCAGCATTGCCCAGCATTGCTTGCAGAATTCACTCTACCTCAGTCTTTTATTCTCTTTTTTAGGGAGGGATTTGTTACAAAGGAAGGATGTAATTCACTCAGGGAGGATGTGATTAAGACAGGATCCGGAACTGAAATGTGATTAATCATTCAAAACAGGACATAATGATTCACAGGAACAATTAAGATATTTTCATAGTTTTTCTTAACATCTAACGTTTTTATTTTTACAGAAAAAAAGGTTCAATCAAGCTGTTATATATTAACTTTTAGGCTTAAATGATCTAGAGTAGCAACGTGTGGTTTCTTAAGGATACATAACATAAAGCAAGGTTCCTGAAAGGAGCCAAGCTGTCTCTGTACACTTTGCAAACTTTTGTTTGTGAGCAAGATCTCAGGCACCAGGCTTCATTTATCTATACCTAAAATGCTACGTTGTTCTTAATATTCCTATAAACTTTCAGGAGGAAGGAGAGCATCTGGGTTAAACTGATTATATTCAGAGGTGGTTTCATGGGGCTGCCACTGATCAATGCAGGGTCTGCCTATGCTGTCCCCAGCAGTTGTACTTTTTCAGTAATGGCATTAGAGAGCCCAGAGTGCTGGATTTGGACTGAGCCTTGGGGGCCCTCTGGTCTACCCCGTGACTGAGTGAATGTAGCCATTAGGCTCCAGTTTGCTCGATGACCCTAGATGCGTCCCCGGGTAGGAGTCTGGCCGGTTGGCAGGAGATGGGGTGGCAGCCACCACGGACACCTTAAGCTCACCTGGGGATGCCTGTTAGCAGTGCAGCCCGGAGGCCCAGGCCCTGCTGGGACATGGGGACGGCATTGTGGACCTGGGGAGCCATCTGGGTGAGGCTCTTCGAAGGCCACCCCGGAGGTTCTCCTGCGTGTGGGACCCCCCAGGGCTTTACATTTCTTTATCAGTGACAGTGAGCATGGGTCACTGTGACACTTTGTTTACGACCCCGGGCTGAAGTTGTCCAGAGACTCCCTGACCTTGCTGTAGGCGTCCACACATTCTAGGCGTTAGCTTGCGAACCCCAGGACTCACCGAGGTGGCCCTAAAGCAGCATCCTCTCTTTTGCAGTCGGGCAGGACGGCCCTCCAGATCGGGGACAGTCTGAACACCGAGAAGGCCACTCTGATCGTGGTCCACACGGATGGAAGCATTGTGGAAACCACTGGGCTGAAGGGACCAGCAGCCCCTCTAACCCCAGGTAGCAGTAGCCCCAGTGTCTGATGTACAAGAGGGCTTCAAAAGTTCATGGGAAAATCCATTATCTTCTATTTTTCTACCAACGTTTAAAGTCCTTTGTTGTAGTAGATGGCAGCCAATGTTTCTTACTTTCAAAATACTCTTTCCAAGGTCCTCGGTCTCCTCCAACCCCTCTAACCCCTGGTCAAGACAAAGGTGGGACCAAGTATAACTGGGACCCCTCGGTGTACGACAGTGAGCTCCCCGTGCGGTGCCGGAACATCAGCGGCACGTTGTACAAGAGCAGACTTGGTTCAGGTGAGAGAGCTGGGCTCGGGAGGGGACGAGGCCTGCCAGGTCAGCCTTCGCAGCCTGCACAGGACCTCTGCTCCTTGTGACTCAGCGCTCTGCCCCTTGCTGTAATCCCCTGATGCCTGGGGACAAAGCAGGGCAGTCACTTTATATAAAAGCAGTTAAGACAAAAGGTGGAAGTAGCTCACGGTACGTCTGGCCCAGAGCTGAGGCTGTGGAGTGAGATGGGGCAGGATTGGGTTTGAGGATGCTGGGTGAGGCAGCAGTGAGGCAGGGAGGACTGGTCAGCTTTGCCACTTGTTCTGGAAGTGGGGCAGAAGTTATGGGCTGGCTGGAGGCTGAGGTGCTACGGGATAGGAGGTGAAGGCGCTGGACGACAGGGGCAGCAGTCCCTGGTGGCCTTTTGGAATTCAGCCACGGGAGTTGGGGTTCACAAGACCCCAGATGGAGAGCAGGTCAAAGGCTGTGGTGAGGTTACAGGGTACTTACCCCCATAAGACAGCCCTGGTGTTAGCAAGTAGGTGGTCTTCAGCTGGAGAAATCACAGTCTTCCTTCTAATTGTGGTTGTTTCAGGGGGTCGGGGGCGTTGCATCAAGCAGGGAGACAACTGGTACAGTCCGACGGAGTTTGAAGCCATGGCGGGAAGAGCTAGCAGCAAGGACTGGAAGAGGAGCATCCGCTACGCTGGAAGACCCCTGCAGTGCCTCATTCAGGTGGCGTCCTGGTGTCTTAGCCACACAGGCTGGGGCTGCATCTCCTGGAATAGGGGTGGGGGCTGTCTGACCGCCTCTGACTTCAGGGCCGGGGGGTCTGGGGGGACTCAAGATCAGCACCCAAGGCTGATTTCTTGGTGGTGGAGGTCAGACCTGGCTCTGTTCTCCAATGTTTTTACTGAGTCTGAAGCCCCCCATCCCTCACACGGCCCTCTCTACTTCTCGTTTGGGTTCCATAACCCTTGCAGTGACCCCACAGAACTCTCAGACAATACTCACAGTTGTGGGGTTTATTAGGGAAGTGACAGGTTACAATTCAGGGCCAGAAATGACCCATGCTCCAGTTTTACAATCAGTCTTTTCAGCTGTGCCCACAGGCAGGCTTGTCTCTGGCCCTCGGCCGCTCGGCCCCTCAGCCTTGGCCCAGCCTCTTGACAGTTGAACAAGTATTCCAGAGCTCTTTAGGGTTACTTCTGAGGGGTCAGAGGTACCTGAGTCTGCTGACAAGCCTCCTGCCCTAGGTGCTCCTTGTCCTGCTGGTGACCTTTCTCTGCCCCTGTGGCTGCTGCCATCTTCTTCCAGGTTTACGAGGTTCCCAGCATAGGAACCCCAGGCCCCAACGACATGCACGCTCCACTCCCGTGTCTATCTGGTGGTGATAGTCACGGCCTCCTTCCTACCTCTGGGATGGCTCCTTTCAAGCCACGTGGAACGGCAAAACTGACCAATCCCCTCATTGGAATTCCATACGCTTTATTTGCATGGACCTACTTAGCCATTTGATGTGAGGTATAAGACTTGTCGAGAAAAGCCGTCTGTAAATTGTTGCGTGGTAGCACGTTCCCATACTGGCTCTGGAGCTGACTCAGTGGACTGTTCAGAGGAGTGGGTTCAGGTGAGTGTCAGCTTCCACAGCTGCTCCTGGTACTGAGGATGTTTTATAACAGAAAATAGGGTGACGAACGGAACAGCTGAGCTGGAAGCCGGGCAGTAATAGTTCCCGCTGGGGTGTGTGAGACTTTTCAAACCCCCCTACTCCCATTGACTCATTCAGACATGGTCCGTTAGTTCCTGTTTCCAATTTAACCCATGGTGTGGCTAATGAAGAAAGGAGCTCAGTGGGTTCTGCTCTCAGTGAGGATGTCAGAGAAGGTGTGAGGGGACAACGCTCTGGACAGGAGGGGTCTTCCTTTCTCAGCACTCTCTCTCTGCATGAATGGCCACGAGGCGTCCCGGTGAAGGACCTACGGTCTCACGCCCCCGTGCCCCTCTTGCATTTCAGGACGGGATCTTAAACCCCCACGCTGCGTCCTGCACCTGCGCAGCGTGCTGTGACGACATGACCCTGGTAAGTTGTCCGCGGTGATAACCACCAAAGCTCTGAAGGATATCGCCCTGTTAACCCAAAGGCTAAATGCATAAACTGCTTATTATGGTGATAGCGTAGTATTCTTTATGATTTTTAAACATTATCACTTCAAAATACCCCACTGAAGTTTTTAATTTATTAAAAATATCTGTTAATATATTTGTTACTGTTTAGTACCATTAAGTTAGTGACCCTGTCTAGGGTTTCCCAGAAGTTACTGGTGGGTTTGAACCACCACCCTTGCAGTTCCTAGTCCAGTGTCTATTGTACAGCGCCACACCAGGACTCCTGTTCACATATAAACCTTTTATTGTGACTTGAATGAAAGTTTACAAAGCAGATCATCAGTTGTCTGTACACCAAGTCAGAGACTTTGCGTCATCATGTGGGTATAATCCCCCCATGTACCAACAGTTCATAGTATTGACCTCTATTCACCAACGATTGCATTGCTCTGTGTCCCCCACTACCTTCATCTGTCCTCGGCTAGCCCCCCTTTAGTGTGCTGCCTATGTTGTCACCTATATTAACATGTGTTTGGAAGAAGTGCAGCCAGGGTGCTCCTTAAAGGCCAAGATGGCCAATCTTCGTCTCTCATACGTTGGACAAATTGTCAGGAGGGACCAGTCGCTGGAGAAGGATATCTTGTTTGGTAAGGTGGAGGGTCAGAGAAAAAGAGAAGACCCCCAATGAGATGGATTGGCCAAGTGGCAGCATCGATGGGCTCAAGCGTGGCAATAGTAGTGAGGCTGGCCCAGGATTGGGCAGTGTTTCGTTCTGCTGTGCATAAGGTCGCTATGAGTCAGTGCCAACTCGATGGCACCTAACAACCACCACCACCCTCTAGCTCATGAAGAATTACCCCCAGCCCTTAATCATCATAGATGGTTTCTTTTCAAGAAAAGCTTTCTTAACTTTTGCAATATCAGTCTAATATAGTAGTTGTTCTTTTGTGCTTCACTGATTTCACTCAGCATAATGCCCTTTAGGTTCAGCCACGTTATGAGGTGGTTCACAGATTCATCATTAGTCTCCACCTTTTATAGTAGTCCGTTGTGTGCATGTACCAAGTCTGTTTAACCAGGCTTCTGTTGATGGCATTCAGGCTGCCTCATCTTTTTCTTGTAGACAGCATATTGAAGGAGCCTGTTAGCCATTCTTGTGACTGTGTCTCTGGATTGGTACGTTTAATCCATTTACATTCAGTGTAATTATCGATAGGTATGGGTTGATGGCTGTCACTTGTCTCTGTGTTTCCTTGTGGTGGTGTTGGATTCTTTGTACCACAGGATTTTCCATGCTAAGCTCATTGTGTTTATGGGGTTTCTTTTCATTTTCATTTCTGTTGCGTTTACTAAATCTGATTTTCTTCTTTTTTGTTTTGATTATTAATCTTCTGGGTTTCTAATTGCAGGTTTTGTATTGTTTCAAAATTTGCATTTATTTTGTCTGTTTGTCCTCGTAGCATTTTTCTGAATTCTTCTTATGTCTCTTCTGTGTCCTTGCTTTCCTTGATCTTTCTATCTGTTGAAGGTACCAAAATGCCATTCTTTTGAATTTTTTTTCAGTTAGTTCTATTGTCCTTTTTTTTTTTCAGAAATGTTTTCCATCTCTGCATCTTGGTCTCTGAAGAATGGTTTAAGTCATTCTTTCTCTCTTTTTTAATTTAATTTTTATTGTGAATGAGTGATGGTTTACATGGAAGAACATCAGTTTTACACTCTTCCTATTGTATTTCGTTTCATTGCAATGATTACAATCCCCTTCCTGCATCATCATTAACAGTATAGCTTCTGTTCCCTCTGGTTTTTTTGGAGGGGATGGGGGTGGGGAGCGATGTACACGAAAACACTCAGGAATATATAATCATTAAACAACCAAAGGGCACATTCTGCAAGCCTGCCTCCTGACCACCAGCTCTCAGTCCCTCTCTCCCCATGAATCTAGAGTCCTCAGCTGCTCCCTCTCTCCATGTCCTCATCTCTGCCTCCATCTCTGGTGTTGCTGCTTCTCTGGATAGAGTCCCACACAACACTTGTGCTCTTCTCCCTTGATGGTCCCAGGATTTTCTGTTCCTGGATTGTTAACTGCTCCCCCATTTTTCTTACAAAACTTCTACCTTTACAGTTGTGACGATCGCAATTAGTCATGATAACAGCTGCTCACTGTTGAATCATAGAATCTTATCCCCATCTTGAGCCATTCTCTCTTGTTTCCTCGTGTGAGCTAAAATTGTCTGTTGTCTCTGGGGCATTTTGAGGTTGTCATATTTATAAAAACAAACAGTGCAGTTGTTGGGCCCGGAGGGGAGAAATCTTTAGGGGGGGGGGGGCGGCTTCTGCAATTCAAGGAGCTCATGCAGTGGGTGCGGAAGGGATGTGACAGCAGCATTCCTGGCTCTGGATGGAGTTCCTGTTGGCCTTGGTGTTATCTACGTTCAGGGCACTCAGTCCATAAGTAGTTCTTGGGGGCCCTTGATGGAGCTGGTTTCATTGTCTGTTAGGACCCCAGGGAAGCTGTGGGCAGGGTGACTGGTTAAATGCTGCTCTGGTGACCCTGTGGGTTTTGTAGGTGTGGAGCTGAGCCCACCTGGATCCAAGCACCAAAGCAGCACCCCACAATGGTGCAGCGGGCCCAGACTCACACTGGCGTGGCTCCTAACCACAGGATTCCCAAATCTTCGCTGGGTGTGGATGAGGCTAGACCTCTGATCGCTAGGGGAGCATGGGGAAAAGAAGACTCGGGCCTTTGCTGTCTTTCCCGTGTGAATCTGCTCTGCCAGGCCTCCCTTCGCTGCCACAGCTGCTCATAGATGGCCGAGCCAGCCGTTCACCAGCTAGTCTCCCTCTCACCCCATCCCTGCTCAGCTTCTCTTCCCAGCAAGCACGCTGTCCACTTCTCTAACCTTTCTTCTGAAGTTCAGGGCACCAGAGTTTTCATTTGTGTCTGTTTTGGTTTTTCTTTGTTGTAGAGGGCCTATGTAGTGGGTCTGCCCAATCCGCCATCTTGCCAGTTCAAACCCACCTTGAAGTTGAGTGCTTGTCCTTACGGCGCCACACCATTTAGGCTGTCCCCATCTTTTTGCTATTGCGAATAGTGCTGCGGTGAGCATGTTGTTAAAGTGCCGTTGAGTTCGTTCCGACTCACCGCGACCCAGAATAGGGTTTCCGAGGAGCTGCTGGGGAGTTTGAACCACCAACCTTGTGATTCAAACCACCCTTGAGGTCCAGTGCTTTATCCAGGCCTCTGCTGTGAACGTGGGTATGCCTGCGTCTCCTCATGTCCTGGCTCCTATTTCTGGAGGGTGTATAGCAAGTAGAAGGTATTCCTATGTCCTATTTCCAACTTTCCGAGAAAGCACCAGACCATTTCCCAGCCCACCTGCAACGTAGGAGGCTCCCAGTCTCTGCACACCCTCATCACCATTTGTTGTTGTCCGTTTTTTTTCACTTTTCTATTAGGAGCTCTGGTAGCGTGGTGGTTATGAATTGGGCTGCTAATCTCACGGTCGGCAGTTCAAAACTACCAGCTGTTTTGCGGGAGAAAGACGAGGGTTTCTGTTCCCATAAAGATTTACAGCCTCGGAAACCCCGTACAGGGTCGCTATGAGTTGGAACCGACTCCACAGCACATAACAACAACAACATTAGCGCTGGGGTGAGATGACACCTCATTGTTTTGATTTGCGTCTCTCTGTGGCACTGTAGGATAAGTACTGGCCCACAAGGTTGGTTTGAACTGCTAGGTTGGTGGTTCAAATCCACCAGCCACTCTTCCTTGGAAAGCCTATACAGGGTTGCTGTGAATCGGAACCAATTCCACAGTACTTTACAACAACAATGGCTAATGAGGGAGCACCATGGCATTAAACCTCAAACCATAGTGTCGGCGGTTCGAGACCCCCATCTGCTCCGTCAAGGAAAGATGAAGCTTTGTGCTCTCACAAAGATTTAAAGCCTCAGAACCCTACATAGGGTCGCTGTGAGTTGGAAGCCACTGGAGGCACTTCCAGGCAACCACAGTGGCTAATGATGGAGAGCACTTCTTCATGGGTTTGTTTATAGGCCGTCTGATGTCTTCTTTGTGGCGTGTCGGTTCGTGTCCTCTGCCTGTTTGTTAGTGGATCATTTGTCCCCTGGTTGAGGTGTTCTGTACATTTTAGAGATTAGTCCCTGGTCTGATGATACCATTGCTAAAAATCGCTCCCCAGTCTGTGGGTTCTCGTGTCAGTCTCTGGTGAAATCTTTTGATGCATACACGTATCTCCTTTTTGGGAGGTCCCAGTCATCTGTTGTGTCTTCTGATTGTGTGTTTCCAGTTTTGTCTGATAGTGTATTGATCCCATGTATCAGCCCCTACGTTGTCTGTTGGCGCTGGCCCAGGGTGACTTTTCTCGCTCAGTTGGTTTTTCCCAGTGACTGAGCACAGGCTTGCCCTCATGGCTGCTGGAATGTTCTCCTAGGAGCTCCAGGGAATCGGGCTGCTGGGGGCGCTCTCCCCAGTGTGCAGTCTACTGCGGAGTCGGCTGGAGTTTGGGGCGGGAGGGAGGCTGGACTAGGTGCAGCTAGCCAGTTGGCGCTGTGTGAGGACTAGGAGGAGGGCGCCTCAAAGAGCATGGGGGCAGCCCTGAGCCTGCGCTGTGTCTGACTGGACCTCCTTCCCCAGAGCGGACCCGTCAGGCTTTTCGTGCCATACAAACGACGCAAGAAGGAAAACGAGATGCCCACCACCCCGGTCAAGAAGGAGTCTCCCAAAAACATCACACTGCTCCCCGCCACAGCCGCCACCACCTGTGAGTGCTAGGAGAGTGGCCTCCGGTTCTCTGGGGAGCCCACTGCTCTCTGCATGGCACCCTGGTGCAGTGACCCAGTGTCCAGACCTGCAGCACCGGGCCTGTGTGTGTCTCATGGTGGGGCCTCCCTGTCCTCAGCACTGCCAGCTGCTCTGAGAGCCCCATACCTGAGCACAGGGACACACCCGGCACATCCTTGACCGTCTCCTGAGTGTCTTCCACGTGACTGCAGGGCCTGCCTCTGGCTGGTCACTTTTAGTGGCAGTGAATTCCAATTGCATGGTTGTCCAGGGTGGGGGACAGATGAGTGAGGACGTGGGCTGGGCAAAGGTGGCTGGGGGAGAACTGTGTCCTTAGTCACCCTCTGTTAGACGCTGTGTGAGGCCTTTCTCCCTGAAGTGCTCACTGCCTGCCCACAACAACCTGTCGGTGCAAGCGAGGCCATGACCCGCGCCGCCTGAACAGCCTTCCACACTGTCGGGGAATGAGGCTGCATTGCTGTAGTTCAAGCTGCTAAGTGGCTTACAGAGTCTTTTAAACTTTGATATTCATTTTCTCACATGCTTCAAAATATGAATACAAAATGGACATGTGGTTGTTGTTGTTGTTAAGTGCCATCAAGTCGGGTCCGACCCATAGCGACCCTGTACAGGGTTTCCAAGGGTGTAAATCTTTACGGGAGTAGAAAGCCTCATCTTTCTCCCGCGGAGCGGCTGGTAGTTTCGAACCGCTGACCTTAAGGTTCGCAGCCCGATTCGTAACCACTTCTTATCCACACCGCCCCCTGGTCCCTCCCCTCACGAGGTGCTGTTTGTCCCTGTGGGGGAATGTGGGGGCTGGTGTGAGGACCCTGGCTGCTCAGTGAGTCCATCTCTGCCTTCCAGTCACCGTGACCCCCTCAGGACAGATTACTACCTCTGGCGCGCTGACCTTCGACCGGGCGTCCACCGTGGAGGCCACAGCTGTCATATCGGAGAGTCCAGCCCAGGGTGACGTCTTTGCTGGAGCCACAGGCAAGTGGTCTTTGTGGGGTGTTAGTGTGGGCACTTGTCCTGGGTCCGGGCTGGACATGTGGAAAGAGGGGCCTCAAGCTGCCTGGGTGGGGATGGGCCAGGCACACAGGGTATGGAGCAGGAATGATGCTGAGGGCCCGGGCGTAGGGTGACAAGGAAGGGACTCTGCGGGAACACAGGCAGTTCCTGGGGTGGGTGGGGTTAGGGTTAGGAGAGGCTCACTGGGCCCCGGCACACCTGCCCGCTTTCTCCCTCCTGAGCTCCCTCCTGGAACACCCCATCTTCTCCCTCACTTCTTGCCTGGACTCCATCATCAGTCTTCCTGTCTCTCCACCTCCCCCGGTCCAAGGTCAGCACACCCTCATGTCTTTACACCCTCAGACACATGGGGACAGTTGTGCCTTCGCCTGCTTTCGGCGGTCTGCATCTGCTCCCAGTCTTAGCCGGCCACCAAGGGCCCAGCTGAGGCTATGCTGAGGACTGGGCAGGTTGACACGGGTCAGGGTCACCCGTTTGCCGATGCCGCATTTCGTGGTTGCTGTCTTCCTCCAGCGGCAGAGCTGTCTGGCTTGCAGAGCTTGCTGTCCGCTGGAAATACAGGGTGAGCCATGGGGTAGATGTAAATATTCTAGGAGCCGCCTGAAGAAGAAGCAGGTGAAACGCGTTTTACAAATTCTGTAATGTATTTCGCTTCACCTGGCGCATCCCAGACGTGGTATAAACAGCTCAGACTCACCGTGGTTCTTGGCGGCCATTGCAGCACCAGGTGAAATGTCTGTTCCTTCTCGCCCGACAGTGCAGGAAGCAGGCGTGCAGCCCCCATGCCGGGTCAGCCACCCGGAGCCCCACTACCCCGGCTACCAGGATAGCTGCCAGATGGCACCGTTCCCAGAAGCCGCGTTGCCCACGTCTCATCCCAAGATAGGTATGTTTGAGCTCACACAGCTGCAAGCTGTACCCTTAGAGCTGCTCCTTGTGAAAGGATTTCAGAGTGAAGTAGGGTTTGTTGGGGCTTTTTCCCGTGATGCATTAACGAAGGGGCTAGCAAGATTCGGCCCAGTGTCTGTATTTGTAAATAAAGTTTTATTGGCACGACCACGCTGGTTTTCTTACAGACTGCCTTGGGCTGTTTTGCAACAGTGGCAGAACTGAGCAGCCGCCGTCTAGACTTCAAGTTGTCTCTTGCAGGAGAAGGGGACACCCTTGCCCTGGGCAGGAAGGGCAAGGCTGGTCATGTTCAGAGTCCTGCAATTTCCAGCTTTGGTATGAGTGTGACGGGCCATCCTAGCGTCAGAACTGCTGGAGAACCCTGGTCATTGTGTTGCTGTCCCCAGTGAAGCCTGACACGTGCTCACCGTGGGCTTGCTGGTACAGAAAGGTAGAATGAGAGACCCTCGCCCGTAGACCGTCGGGTCCTGTGAGAGCAGGGGGCTTTCTTCAGAAGCTGTGTGCTTTGTTTAGGGTTTCCCGATGTTTCATGTTTCTTGTGAATTCAATGAAAGTTTACCGAGCAGATCATGAGTTTTCATTCAGCAAATCCTGTACTTGGCCTCATTACAGTGATTGCAGCCCGCCCCATGGACCGGCAGCTAATAACGTTTACCTCTCCTCACAAACACCTGCGTTCCTTACTGTGGCTTTCACTACCTTTATCTTGGTTTTTTATTTATTTATTGCAAAATATACACTACATAAAATTTGCCATTTTGACCATTGTTAAGTGTACAGTTCAGTACAATTAAGTATATTCACAATGTTGTGTGTAACCATCAGCATTGTCAATTTCTAGATCTTTCTTACTGTCCCAAATAGAAACTCAGCAACCCTATTAAACAATAGCTCCCCCTTGGCCCTTGGCCTCAACCCCTAGTCACCTTAGCGTTCCCTGTGCATCTGCCTCTCCTGTGAGTGGGCCTGTTCAGTAGGGGCCCGTTTGTGTCTGTCTTGTTCACTTAGAGTAGTGTCTTCAGTGTTCATCCATCGTGTGCATGGATCAGAACAGAATTCCTTTGTATGACTGAATCGTATTCAGTGCAGGGATGGACCACATTGTGTTGGCCCATTCATCTGGTAATGGGCACTCAGGTTGTGGCCTTTGGCTGTTGTGAACAGCACTGCTCTGAATGCTGAAGTGTTTGAGTCTCAGTGCTTGACCCTCTTAGGTATATAGTTCGGAGTGGGATTGCTGGGCTGTAGGGTAATTCTAGCTCTACATTTTGAGGAAGCACCAAGGTTTTGTACCATCTTCCATTCCCAGCAGCGGTGAAAGGGTTCCAGTTTCTCGGCATCCTCACCAACCTTTGATGTTGTCTGTTTGTTTGTTTCTTTATTGTTCAGTTCTCTCAAACACAGTATTTGTTACGTCGGTTACAGAGCAGAGTGATGATCTATAATATAGGAAAGCTTAAGAAGCAGCAGTAGCAGTATTCTATGATGATTATGGTTTCGGGGAGGTGGGAGGGAAAATTATTCAGCAGCTTCGAGGGTAGACACATGTTAACATGGGTGACAAGGCAGACAGACATGGAGAGGGAGGTTAGCAGAGGAAGGGTGAAGGCAGCGGGGGAGACACAGGGAGGAATGTACTTGTTAAAGTGAATGGAGGTAAACACCTGCTAACGGACGGTCCATGGAGGGGACTGCAGTCACTGCAATGAAGCCGAGTACATGAGCTGTTGGATGTAAAGGTGATGACCTGCTCTGAAAACCTTCATTCAGTTCACAGTAAAAAGTTAAAAAAAAAAAACAAAAATCAAAGTTAACTCGATGCATAAAAGACAAACTCCTCAGGGGAAAAAGCAGCCAGTAGCTCTTGTTGCGGTTAGGTGTTGTCGAGTCACCTTTGCCTCGTGCAGCCCTGTGCACAGCGGAATGAAACCCGGCCTGGCCCTTACGCCCTCACGCCCGGCCCTCACCGTCCTCGAAGCCGTTGTCCTGTCTGAGCCCATTGCTGCTGTCACTGGGTCCGTCCGTCTCGTCGGGGGTCTTCTTTCGCTTACCCTCCACTTTACCAAGCATGATGTCCTTCTCCAGGCACTGGCCCCTCCTGAGAACATGTCCAAAGTCCATCAGACGAAGTTCCCCAGCCTGACTTCTAAGGAACATCCGGCTGCACGTCTTCTAACACAGATGCGTTTGTGCTGCCGGTTCATGGTGCTTCAACTATTTGTCACCAACACCATAATTCTAACGTATCACTTCATTTTTCCTTATTCATTGTCCAGGTTTCACACGCATATGAGATGATTGAGAATATCAGGGCTTGAGTCAGGCACACCTTAGTCCTCAAACGGACATCTTTGTTTTAAACACTTTAAAGAGCTCTCTAGCAGATTGGTCTAATGCGGTATGGCAGTGGCTTTCCTGACTGTGGATCCCAGTAAAATGAGATCCTTGACAACTTCAATCTTTTCTCCATTAATCAAGATACTGCTGTTGAATCAGTGGTGAGAACTTGTGAAGGCTGAATTCTCTGATGTTCGGCAGTAAATGCTTCAGTTCTCTTGACTTTCAGCAAGCAAGGTGTGTCAGCTGCTTATCATAGTTGTTAATGGGTCGTCTAATCCTGATGGCATGTTCTTCTTCATATAATCCAGCTTCTCAGATTATTTGCTCAGCATACAGATAGAGTGCTTTTGTTAAAATGGTACAGCCTTGATACACCCCATTCCTGATTTTAAAACACATAGTATCCTCATGTTTGGAGTCCTGGTGTGGCACTGTGGGTTAATATGTTGGGCCGCAAAGTCAGATTCAACCACAAGGTCGGCAGTTCAAGCTCACCAGCCACTCCTCGGAAACCCTATACAGGGTCGCTATGGGTCGGAATTGACTCGACGACACTTCACAACAACACCACCTTCTTATTCTGTGTGAACGATTGCCTCTTGGTCTGTGTACAGATTCTGCATGAGCATAGTGAAGTCTTACACAGTTGAGGGCCGTTCAGAGTTAAGCACAGGAAAACATCTTTCTAGTAGTCTCTGCTTTCAACCAAGATCTAGCTAACAGCAATTATATCTGTCATTCCTCATCTTCCTCAGTGTCTGAATTGATGGCGGTGCCCTGTTGATGTTCCTTGTAACTGTTTTTTTTTTAAATTATCTTGAGCAAAATGGCACAGATAGAGCTGATCAGGTGACTGTCTCCCAAATTTCCTGGCACGGATCATTGAACACTTCTAGTGTGGTCATCATTTGTTGAAACTTTTTCAGTTAGTGCTCCGTCAATTCCAGGAGCCCTGTTGGGTTTTTTTTTTTTTACCATTACCTTTAGTGCAGACTTCTTCCTTCAGTACCATCGGTATTTGATCATATGCTACCTCCTGAAATGGTTGAACACTGACCTATTCTTTTTAGTACAGTGACTCTGTATTCCTTCCATCTTTGTTTGATGCTTCCTGCTTCATTCAATATTTTGTCAGTGGAATCCTTCAATCCTGCAACCCCAAGGCTTGAATTTTTCCTTCAGTTCTTTCAGCTTGAGAAATGCTGAGCGTGTTCTTCCCATTAGGTTTTCTAACTCCAGGTCTTTGAACATTTCATTATAATGCTTGATTTTGTCTTTCTCAAGCTGCCCTTGGAGATTTTCGGTTCGGCTCCTTTACTTCCTCATTTCTTCTATTTGCTTTACCTTTTCTACACCCAAGAGCAAGTTTCAGAGTCTCTTCAGACATCCAGTGTGGTCTTTTCTTTCCTGTCTTTTAAATGACCTTTTGCTTTCTTCCAGTGTGGTGGTCTTTTTTTTTTTTTTTTTTAACTTCTTGTTGTGACTTGGGTGAAGGTTTACAGACAAGATCATCAGCTTTACATTCAACAAATCCTGCACTTGGTTTCTTCTCAGTGACTGCAATCCCCTCCTTGCAGCCAGCGTATCCTCCTTCCTCTCTGTGGTCCCTATGGCCACCCACCTTCCCATCCCTTCTCAGTTGGCCCTTACATAAATGTTGCTTGTTCATTTGAGTTTGAGTGATCTTTCCTGGGTGAGCATACCTTACTAGTGTTGACATCCACCCTATACACCTGTCTACCGCTTGGCTGAAAGTTGGACCACGAGGAGGGTGAGTTCCTTTCCAGACTTGAAGGCTTAGTCGAGTTTTGTTCCATACAGTTTGCTCTTGTCTCTGGGACTTTGTACTGTGATCCCTTTCAGAGCAGTTGGTCTCAGACATTTGTCTGTTGGACTGATTCCAAGCCTCTTCGGTTTTCCTTCCTCTTCTTTCTTCTTCTTCTGCATGGGGAGAGACCAACAGCTGCACCTTAGACGGCAGCTCATGAGCTTTTAAAATCCTACACGATGCTCACCAAAGGAAGATGGAGAACGTTGTCTTTCTTGTTGCTGTTAAATGCCGTTGAGTCAGTTCCGACCCATAGCGACCCACTAGAGGGTTTCCAAATGACCGTGGTGTCCCCTGAGACTATGGTCCCGAGCCTCCAAACTAGCAACTCATTGCCTTAAGATGTCAGATTGTATCTAAGACGTTTTCATTGTTTTGCCCGCTGTGTGTTCCACCGTACAGAGGCCAGGTGTGGCGTTGTGGGTTAATGGGCCGGACTGCAGAGTCAATTGAACTGCAAGGTCGGTGATTCAAGCTCACTAGTCACACCTCGGAAACCCTAGATAGGGTTGCACTGTGGGTCGGAACCTACCCGATGGTATTTAACAACTTTAGCAGCAGGGCCCCACCATATTCAGAGTTGTGTGTTCAGGAAAGGTAAATACCCATGTCCAAATATCCTCTTTCAAACTCTTATATATTTGTGGGTGTCTCTTCCTCCCATACCCATCCTGCCTGTGTCTCTGCCCATGTGTCTACCTGCAGAACACCGTTCTTCCAAGGCTGTGTATATATCATTATTAACCTCTCTCCCCTAAAGCCCTTGCATACCAACCTGTGTCTTTACCTGCCTTCACCATCCTTCTGCCAACCTTCCTCTTCTTGTATATTCCCTTCTATTCCCCTCCCTCTTGTATGTTGCTCTCCCGTTTCTTGTATATTACCATCCACCACCAGCGTCAACATGCATCTGTCTACCTTTTAGCCAGTGAATTATTCTTCCTTTCCTCCCACCCCCTCCCTGGTAGCCATCAAGGAATGTTTCTTTTAGTATGAAAACCTTTCTTGAGTTGTTAATAATAGTAGTCTCATACAATATTTATACTTTTATGATTTATACTTTTATGATTTCACTCAGCATAACGTCTTCCAGGTTTAGCCATGTTATGTGGTGTTTCACAGCTTCCTTGTTACTCTTCAAGGTAGCATAGTACTCCATTGTGTGTATGTACCACAGTTTGTTTATCCAGTCCTCCGTTGATGGGTATTCAGGCTGTCTCCGTCTGTTTGCTGCTGTGAACATTGATGTGCATATTTCTACTCGTGTTACGGCTCTTATTTCTTGTTGAGAAATACCAAGTAGAGGGATTGCTGGGCCATATCGTTTTCCTATTCCCAACTTTCTGAGCAAGCGCCACACTGTTTTCCTGGAAATGTAGGAGGGTCCCAGTCTCTCTACACCCTTGACACAATTTCCCCAAATGTATAGTCACCAGTTATGTTGTGAAAAAGGTATTTGCCATGAACAGGTTGCTCTGGTCTTACAAAATTCTATCATGTGATTTTCAGCTTTTGTGTTCCTATCATCTATAATTGTCAATGCATTTTGATTGCCCGTTTAATCAATCCCAGACTGCAGAAGATGGTAAACATCTTCCATTTCTTCGTCTTTGACCTTAGTGGTTCGTGTGTAAATTTGCATGATGGTAGTGTTATTCCGTCCCTGGCGGTGTTGTTTCAGGATAGCTGTTGAAATGATGTTTTTGACGATGCATATGTGGTTCCTCTCCAGTGCGTCCTTGCGGCATAGGGGCACGTGTTTGTCTTCTTCAGAACGGCGGTGCCAGCCCAGCCAGCCCCCTAGGAGATGGGTCTTTACACCTTCACTCCATGATGTGTTTGACAGCTTCCCGTTTTCCTAAATCAGATCTCCTGTGCTCCATGTTTCTGTTACTCATGGATGTTTGCAGCTCGCTCTTCTCAGTTTGAGTCCTGTCTCATCAGCAAGTGACGTGATGGAAGTCTCTACTCCGTTGATGTCGTTTCGGTTGACTCGGTTTTGAGGAGGGAGCTCTCCCCGTTCAGTTTTCAGTGGTTTCCCACTGGAAGGGCTCATCTCCCAGCATTGTCCTTCTGTCATTCATAAAGTAGTCACTGGCCAGGGTTTTTAGGAGTAGATTGTCCCGTCCTCTTTCCTGGTCTGTCTTTGTCTGGAGTCTTCACATCAACCTGCCCACCCTGAGTGATCCTGTTGGTATTTTAAATACTGGTGGCATAGCTTCCAACATCTTAGCAACACTTAGGCCACCGCAGTATGACTGGCTGACAGACGAAGGAACCAGAGTTCATGTCCATACAACTTTGAAACTGTCTTAAACTTGCAAATATGCCAGAAAGTAAGTCAGGAAGTAAGTCAGGAAGTATAGCTACTCATGGTCCACTTCCTCCACGCACAGGTTTCTTCTGTGGTCAGTGGGGGACTGAAGACAAGCTCTCAGTAGTACGTGTGGCTTAGTCTTGTTAGGAGACCTAACAAGATGGCTAGAAAGGATGGTTCTCATGCCATGGGGAAAAACTATTCTGAGATCAAGGCTAAAGTCAAGTTTTTAACAAAATTGAAGTGGACATCTTTCCAAATCATATTAGTTTGTAAACATGCTTTTCCATATAATACAACAGTTTTTAGATGGAGTAAACATTTTAAGGAAGACCTCAAAGATGAGCCAAGAGAGGGAGGACCATCAGCCTTGACCAATGAAGAAACTGTGGCTGAAGTCCAGAAACAGGTGGAAGAAGACACTTGAACGGTTACTGATGCAATGGCTACTAAAGTGGGACGCTCACGTGGCTCGGCACTTTCAATTTTAAGTGAACATCTTGGTCTCAGTAAGCTTGCGATTGGTGCCAGAATGTCAAAGAGCTGATATTTCCATTAATCTTTCAGGCAAGATTGAAGCTCATGAAGATGATCTTATCAAACAGGTCATAGGTGGGGATGAGTCTTAGACTTACTCTATAATCTAGAGAGCGAGGTCCAATCCAAACAGTGGCTTCTGAGGAGATCTGCTGGGCCAGTGAAGTTTAAGGCAGAGAGGTCAGCTTCTGGAGACCCCCAAAGGGTTCATCTTGAAAGACACAAGGCGATCATGGTGGCTTATTAGGAAGAAGTTTTGAGAAAACTGAATTCTGCATTGGTAAGAAAGAGACCTGGAAGGGTGAGCAAAGGACTGCTTTCCCATCACAACCACCACCTGCTCAGTCTGTAAGAGGAACAAGGGTTCTCCTGTCCCACCTACCCTACAGCCCTGATCCTGCCCTTCAGACTTCTTTTTGTTACCCAAACTCTAAAAAGAATTGAAAAGGAACGTGATTTGAGTCCCTCAAGGATGCCCACACTGCCCCTTGACGGGGTGTCAATTGTAGAGTGCAGGTTGGTTGGGGGCTGTGGAGTCAGTTCTGGCTCAGCGACCCTGTGCACAGCAGAACAGAGCTTGGGCACACCTCTGTCAGAAGTGCATAGGCCTAGATCGAGAGTATAGCTGGAAATAATAGCTTCACATTTTGATGTTGTTATTTAAGAGAGGTTGCTATGATTTTGTAGCAGTACTTTCTGACTTACGGATGTGGTACAAAGAACCACTTGAGTGTAATAAGTTGCTGACATTGCCCAGAATACTTTTGTGTGTTCTTTGTAAAAATGAGGGCCGTTGTCGGAACCAGGAACAAGTGTAGTCACTCATCCAGCCTTCTCATGCCTGTGTTGGTCAGCGGTTCACACTCACTGGGTGTGCCAGGCCCCCTGCTCACCTGCACGTGCAATCTGACCAACTCTCTGCCCAGCTCCCTTGGAGCGTTGTAGTGCTCTCTCCTCCCCTCACTTTTGTTGTTGTTGTTAAGTGCCATTGAGTCGGTTCTGACCCATAGCGACCCTATGCAGGGTTTCCGAGGGTGTAAATCTTTATGGGAGTAGAAAGCCTCATCTTTCTCCCGCGGAGAGGCTGGTAGTTTCGAACCGCTGACCTTAAGGTTCACAGCCCGATTCATAACCACTACGCTACCAGAGCTCCTCCCCTCACTTTAGCCACCTGTAATTGAAATCCCTGTGGACCTAGGAATGTATTAATTTCTTGTTTTATTTTGCTTCTACAACGTTCTAGTGTTGACATCCCTGCCCGCCCTGGCGGTCCCACCCTCCACCCCCACCAAAGCCGTGTCTCCCACAGTGGTCAATGGGCTGGAGATGTCGGAGCAGCGGAGCTGGCTGTACCTGGAAGAGATGGTCAACTCCCTGCTCAACACGGCGCAGCAGCTGAAGGCACTGTTTGAACAGGCCAAGCAGGCCAGCTCCTACCGAGAAGCCGCGGTGGTCCAGGCCAAGGTCCAAGCCGATGCAGAGAGGAAAGAGGTAAGAGCATATGGACATGCGCCGGGTTGTACACCTGCCCCGGGTGTGCGATCCCCACACACAGCGATCCCCGCACACAGTGATCCCCCGCACACAGCGATCCCCCGAACACAGCGATCCCGCGCACACAGCGATCCGCGCACACAGCGATCCCCCGCACACAGCGATCCCACCGCACACAGCGATCCCCGCACACAGCGATCCCCGCACACAGCGATCCCCGCACACAGTGATCCCCAGCACTGATGTTGCTGAGGGCTGTTTGTTTTTAGTGGGTCACATTGGTTTACTTCAAAGGGGAAAACATTCTTGTAAACCTAAGACATTATTATTACTCATTTTT